CGAAGAAGCAATGGTCAGTTACGCGCTGCGACCAGAAAGATGGGCTGTGGTGTGTAGTTTACGTAGTTGCTAGTTACTTTAAAATATAAAAAGCCGAAGAAATAGTTCAACTTTCAGTGACACCATCTTGTTAAAAATAAATAGTTTGTTGAAAAACTACTTTATTTTTTTTTACATATCTCGTGGACCTTATGGAACCGTAATACCGGGTGAAAAATGGCAGATTAAATCTTCAGTACGTTATCTACGGGGTTTCGCGAAAAAATAATAAAAAAATTCTTTGTGATGTGGATTATGAAAAAAACGTAATTTTATAAAAGTAAAATTGGCAACATTGCACACACCTAATGCGTGAATACCTCTGGCTTACTTTCTGATTTCTTAGTAATGATGGTGACTGAAATCTACCTTTAATTTTTTTAGAACAGTAACTACAACAACTAGCAGTTATTAATCGGTGTGCATTATTATTAAAATAAAACAATCTGTTCTTCTTCATTAATAAATAAACCAAAAAAACAATATTTAATAAAACGTTTATAAATTATAAACAAAAACAAAACTGACAAAAGAAAAATCCATTAAAGCATAACCAACTAAACACTAGAAAAGATGTTTTTAAGTTTTTATCATTTTTTGTAATAGTGAGTCAACAGTACTTGCCAAAATAAAACTGATTTTGGCAAATGACATATCCTCTAAGAAACGAGAAGGTGGGTGGGTGGGGCTAGTAGCTGCTAAGATAAGACTAATTTTGGCAAATGACATACCCTCTAAGAAAAGAAAGGGTGGGTGGGCGGGGCTAGTATCTGCTAAAATAAGACTGGTTTTGGGAAATGAGATACCTTCTGTGAAAAGAGAGAGTGGGTGAGCGGGGCTAATACGTATCCTCTAAGAAATTTTCCAAAAATAGAACACCAAAGTCCCCAAAATTGTTTTAAATAATTTACAAAAAAATCTCCATGGGCTCTCAAAATAATACACCATGGGTATTCAACAGTCTCCCGAATTAAAAAAAAACACTGCGGCACTCAAGACTTTTTTAAATTCGTAAAAAATGAAACAATAAAAGCTCAAAAGATTTTTTCAGGTTCATCCAGTAACAAAACACCCAATTCCTTTAAATTTGTCCGAAAATAAAACATCAGGGGACCTTAAATTAACTGCGAACATTTTAAACGTAGAGTTTTGAAAACTTTAACACATCTTTGATAATTTTTAATACGTCAAACATTTTTAACTGCTTACTCGATTTTTGCTGATTTGTACCTTCGCATTATATCAGGCAAACATTGTTGTCAAATAGAATTTTATCAATTATTACAAAAACAACACAACCATACATTGTACATTCTAACTGAAATGGTACTTAAACATGGTCATGGGTGAGCGAAATATTAACTAAAAGCTTTATTACTTGTTGTGATGATAGTGAATGTGTTGTTTAGTTGTTAAATGTAGCAAAAGAACCAATTTTAAAATCATTATAACTCCACCAAAATGTGAGAAGGATTTTTTTACTATTTCTCCCAGACTCACCAGTTGATTGTTTAGAGCGTAACGGAGAGTTAATTCGGTATTTTCCAGACACCCGGTATAGGAGTCTAGAAGGACGGTACCGATTTCTCTAAATAATAGTAACCCTTATTATCCCCTATTTGAGGGAAGTCCAATTATACAGCTGCATGGCTAAACTGACCGCCGCGCGCAAGCGACCAACACCCAAGTTTCATAGCCAGAAGTAAAATAAAAATTGTATGTATTTTGACTCACTGAATTCAAATTCATTACCCTAAAAATTCCATCACGTCTACTTCTTGAGAAAAAAAAAAAAAGGTACAGTAACTTTAAGAAAATTGAAAATTTTCTTTCATTGTGCTACATATTTGTTAATAATAGCCCTTTTTTTATATCTATAAACCACGAGCATCTTCACAAGACTTCATTAAAATTTGAAAAAGTGCTAAACGATTTTCTATAGTCAGAAATGATACACTCATAGAAAGATCAGATTGGTAAACTTTTAAATATAATTATAATATCTTTTTGCCAGACGTGATAGAATTCTTCTGAATACAAATTAAGAATACAAAATATTCCTTCCAAAAAGTAAAGTTGTTTGTCTCTGTGTAAAATCTTGCAACGAGTGTTTGTTTTGATTCTTTATATCTAATGTCTTTTATAAAATGAAAAAAGTAAATAAAAAGGTCTCATTTAACATATACATAAATAAAAATATCTTTAGTTAAAACCGCAAATAACTAGACCAGTAGAAATGGGGCATTGTACACTTGTACAGTAGAAATTCGCATATTTCAGGATTTCGTTATAACCACTATTTAGATAAAACGGCACATATGTGACAATTGCATTATAGTCACTGTTTCGATAAGGCAGCGAAAATCGAAAACCAGTTTCTATCCTTCTTTTGTTCAAAATTTGCCTCATTTTTTTTCATTATTTCGCTACATTTTTTATTCATTTTTATAGCGTATTTTTTAATGTGCTGTAGTTTTTATCCCCTTGTATATTCGATAAGACGACTTTTAACTTTCTAAATCCGTTATATTATAATTTTACGACAAATGTATTTATCTTTTTACTTTATCATATCTTTTGTTATATGTATTATTCAGTCATGATGATACCTACTTGAATATTTAAGTATATATTTGTTTATATTCTCACAACCGCTTTTTCCTTCTATGTAAGGTAAAATGTAATAAAACAAATGGAATTTTCTCGTGCATATTGCCATCATTATTTTTTTTTACAAAATATTGTAAGTAGCTTGCAATTAAACCTTCTCTCTTATTCTGTGAGAGTTGAACGAAAATATTAATTATATGTACTTATATAAAGTCACATAAGCAAAAAAATTGAAATCCATTTCTGGTTTTTTTATTTTTTGTTTCTAAAAAGAATGTACGTTTTCTTACATTAGAAATACTAGTGCACCTTCTATTTCAAAAAAACAAAACAGGTTGTTTTTGCTTTTAAGTCTCAGGTGTGTTTGGTCAAAAATATTGTCCACTTCTAATACTTTGTTTTTCATGTTTAAATAAGTCCCGGGATTTTTCGTTTCATACTAGTATCTCAAATTATGCACGTCAACTCCAAATCAACAATAACCGAATTTTATTGAGCTGTTGAAGATTTGTTGAACAAAACTCAAACATGTTTTATCTTCATTTTCTATAATAATAGACGTCAGATTTAGTATTACTGAAATTAAAAACTGTAAAAAAATAACTAAGACTTACTACTCTCAATACAATTAGCATTAAATAAAATCAGTGCTGTTTCAAATATACATATAATACTTATATATGAACTGACAAACTTATGGAACATTTTTTTTGCTGGAAATGAAATAAAGAAAAACGAATAGCGCAAGCACCAGACTTTTAAATATGACGGGAATATAACGTTTCCGCTACATTGCAACTAAATTGCAAAATGAAACTCACATGAAGACGACAATTTGACGACGATATTTTCACTTGTGTACGTTTTACATGTGTGTAACTCGTTCAGAGTCCAGCGAAGGGTATTGAAGCGCAAAGACAAACAGTTCCCTCGTCTCACGGTGTCTTCTTATATATGTGTATGTTCTTTCCTCTTTCCCCGTATTCTCTGATTTGTGTTGGTGGTGTCCATCCGTTGGGCCGCCATGAAAGCGTCTGAGAAAAGCAGGCCGCAATTTACTTAGACCCCTCGAATCAAATTGTGAATCTTCAAAAGAATAGACCACCCCTACACTAACCCGCGCCAAACTAAAATACCCCTATTTCACTTTTATTTAACTCGGTTTTATCTCTCCTAAATCACATAGCCGGTGGATGTTGAATCTTGGACTACTAACTTTCAGGAAATAAGAGATTAAAGACTGAAACGGACTTTAGTGGGAGATATCACTGTGCCGAGGCAAAGGTTAGACGAGACAAAAGTTTTCTTTCTGCGATTTTACATACCTCTTGGGAAGGCAAATACGTACAAACCAGATTCCTTAATAATTGCGATTATTAGCTTTAAGATCGCTGCAAATTAGAGTTGCTGCGTTAATCATATACTCGTTTCTGCGGTGTTGAATAAAATACTGATGTGTAGGAATTTGGGCTAAAAAAGTAGGGCTGTCGTTGCTATTAGGGCAAATTATGATCATTTTGTCGTTATACATTTAATTAGCAACCCAGTTGTTTCACAAACATTTGAATAGCTTTCTGTTGTTGTTTAAAGTTTGGTTTTATCGTGTTCCATCCATCATAGATCTCGAGGCAGAAGCCTAGAGATGGGACTCGAGAAGCAAAAAACTTTGTTTAATTGCGGAGGAAAATAAGAATAAAATATTCACGTGAAATGGTCCGGCACGAAAAGCTCGATAATTTCCTTCCCGGCAATCAAACGCCTAAAAACCGGTGAACCGGTCACACATAAAAACATACAAATCCCTGTGAAACAACCTCAGAAAAAAAAACGTAAATACTCCAAAGCTATCATTACCAAAAATAATAATCAACTAGCTACCGCGTTGAATGTTTCTTTGAAGCGATTATGTGTCTCTACTATTAAAAACAAGATCATATTTAACCTTGGGTTACAGAAAAGTCCGAAAGGAAAAAACTCCAGCATTCACGGAAAATGTTTATTCAGTGCTTTTATGAGTGGTATGAAAGTGCAAAGGTTGAAGACCTGAATCGTTGGCCAGTTGTTGTGGCTGATCCGGAGTAGAAGCTGTGTGTTCCGGAGAGACGGAATGGGGGCGGAAGGGGGGTTATTGATTAGTGCGACCCTAGTTAGCGCTACTACCGCCCCCTCTTTAACTCCCCCGAATCGGGCCGAGAATCAGCATAGTATTTCCTCCTCTGTTTACCTTCGGAATCACCATTGCACGTTCCTTTCGTATATCGCATGCGGAAGGGTGAGAGAGAGATCTTAACTAACCTCATCCCTACTATCGATTTCATGCTCACGTGGACTCAAAAATGTCATCTTTGCAGGTAAATTATGGTTAAACGACCCAGAAATGACTTGGCGACAGGAAATGCAAGTACCTTCCGCCGAAGACTCCAAAGTTGCGCTGCAGACGAGGCTGGCGCTTTCGCCGAGTGAGTATTTTTCTAACGTTATTTGTATTCAGATTTGTGCCTTAAGATTAACCGAAACTTATCCCTACATAAAAATATAGCATTGCATTAATTGTGCTAATTATAAAAATAGAAAAACATGATAAGAATATATTGAATCAAATTGAAATTAATAGGAGATTAATGAACTAAAAAAACTGTATTATGTCCAAGACACTTCTCTGCAGACATCTGAAGATGTAACGCAGTTAGCTTGCAGAAATTGTAAACTTCATTTTTGTGGAATAATGTGATCGGTTCTATGGATGCGTATTGTGTAGTTCGAACCCTAAATTATGCACCCATACAACAACAAACAATCTAAATAAAAATATGATTGTATTGAGATTCTTAAAATTTCTGTCATATCTTTTCATACAGTCTAAAACTTTATTAACTAAGTACAATTTGTTTTTAACGGTACTGGTTATTTTGATCTAATTTTACTAAAAAAATAATATGGACGACTCTATTTATTCCTGCGGATAAAAAAAATATATACATATCCACAAAGAAAGTAAAATCAAATTATTTTTTATTTAAACACATAGATATAGATAAGGAAGAAACTAAAACTGATTTTTGAAAATCTTAAAAGCACGTGTTCCGGAATTAAGTAGAGATTTACGTCATTGGAAGCCTTGTTGAAAACTGTAAACATCACATCTTATTATAATTGTTATTATTGCTGAAAGTGTAAAAAAATATACAGAGTGAGTCACTAACCACGCGCTCTTCGATATCTCATTCATTATTAGAAATAGAAAAAAAGTATAGGACTAAAACTGTATAGTTCTTTGAGGACTATATACCAAAATTATTTTCAACTATACAGAGTGCTCTGTTTTTAAGTCTATCACATCACTTGATTTTTTTCAAATGGGATACCCTATGTATTTTACATATTCTGATTGATCTCTTCTTAAGCTTAATGACCATAGTTTATTTTCGAACTTCCGATGCGACGCCACCAACTTATTTCAATTTTCTTCAATTTTTTTGGTTCACAAATAAATCGCAATAGGGTGATTTTTAAAATCTTGGTTACAATACTTTGTCGAGAGATAAATTGTGGTATTAAAAATGGGTTTTAATAACAGAGTGTTTATATAAAACAAAAATAAATTATAACGATTTTCAAATTCTTTTCAGTTTTTCCAAATAGAGCACACTCTACTTGATTACTGTATCTTATTCTATTTTCCGTTCTCTTTCTTTCTTGTTAAGTATTTTCCATATTTAAATTTGATAGTTATTGAGATTTTTTAGATTCTTAAGGGACACATCGACATACTGAAGCAAAAAGAACAAACAAATAGAGTAAGATTCAGTTATAAAAGAGGTTATATTTGAAAAAACTGAAGTATCGATTTTTGAAAATTATAGTTTTTTTTATAAATAGGTACTTTGTAGATTGAAATTCTACAAAAATGGCAACGTCACATCGGAATTTAAAAAAAAAATGTACTTATCAACAAAACATTATATAATAGAAAATAATTTTAATGTATGCTCCTTAAAAGCTGAACAACATCGAGGGGCGTGCGCGTGCTGACTCACCCTGTACATTCCAGCAATTATTAGTTTTATTAATGTGAATATTACTTAAAATTCAAATTCTGTTAGTATGAGAGAGCTAAAAAAGTCATTATGAATAGCGACTTACACAACAGCAATGGTTATCTAACTGATAACATATAAATTCCAAAAAATTTTAAAATCCATCATGACATTATCAGCTAATTTAATTAAAAGCCAAAAATAGATATACCGTAACTGTGTCATTTTCCTATGTCGTAAGCATACTACTTTTACACACTAATAAAATTTTAGAATTTAAAATTTAAAAGACCTAAGCCACAATCCGTAAAACCATAAATTACAGACTTTCGGTCAAAACTTAGCGACCACCAAACAGTGAACAGAGCCGTATTCTTCTACTATGCAATAATTTAATCGAGATATGTAAGAATCGTCAACAGTGATAGAACACTAACTTGTTCTTTGTGTTTATATGGAAGTATATAAGTTAACATTCAGCATGAAATTATTTTATGTCAGCAAATTTTCTCGAATGCAACCCTGCAATTTAGGTAAATTTCAAAGCAAAAATTATCAAAGATTGAGGAGGATCTGCCACGTAGGTTGTTCGATAATTGTTAAATGACACTAATAGAGTGTACGATTTTATCGGTACATTGATCACTAGTATAACAGGAAAGTAATCACTTGAATAAGCAATTAAATATGTACATTGAATTTAACCAAAATATGCATATATCTGTATCAGTTAAGTATAAAACATTTGATTAAATACATATTTTATTTACCATACACTTACGAGTGCACTTTATATACATAAATATAATATGTATTAAATAATAATTACCGATAAGCAAATTTCGTACATTCGGAAAGAACTTGGTTATTAGGTATATGTCATATTGCACATAACCATTTATCAAGGAATGCCAACATGAAGCAAACCATTACCATGGACAATACGTATCCATGTTGCGGGGATGATTTCGAAAGTATATCGTGCGCGCAGCGCACGTTTGACGCAATACATTAAGGTGTGTGCGAAATACTGTACCCATTCGACATTCACTCGTTTTATAAAATTAAAAAGTAAAACAAATTGAGCTAATTTTGTTCTAAATATAAGCAAAATGTTTAGCTTCTGAATTAGTGATCCATCGCTCCATCGCTAAACAATATTTCTTGTATTTAAGCGCAAATATCCCAATTTCACCCTCTGCAATTCGCATCTGCGGCGTTTTGATTTTCATGACAAAAACGATCACTTGTCTATTAAATTCGTCCATTTTTGGGGAGACACTCAATTTCCGAACATCATTGATTTTAGAAACATACCCCATTGACAGATTATTACGAAAAGCCCCAAATTTGCTGAGTCACCCCTTCTTGTTAATGTCACATGTTGCTTTCAGTTCGTCATCAATTTCGCCCGAGCCAATTTGCATCGTGTGCATCGAAAACCGATTCCAACGTCTAATTATATAATTCCGGTAATAAAATGAAAATTACTGCACACGAAGAGTGAAATTGCAAATTTTAACTGTATTTACTTCCAGACATAAGCGTAACAATTAAAAAAATTAGTTACACTAGGTAAATTATGTATCATCCTTGATTATTAAGACTGCATACCCATTACCATGTTTCTTTTTCTTCGACACAATCGATAACAATAAATTTGAATTTAGCCTCTGTTCATTTAATTATACAAAACGAAATTGGACGTTTTTCGGAGAGGATTCGGGTAGTGTATTGGGTCACTTTTCGAGAGAATGAAGCACCTTTCAACTTGAGTATAATTCGATTTAAATAAGAGAAAGTCTCCTGCTGCGGGGGTTGGACTCTTGCGAACAAGAAGGGCAATCTGAAACGGAGGGACAAATGGACCACGCCAGACGTGAGAATTCGATAAAGATTGACTGTTTTACCACCCCACTTTAAGTCTTTTAAAGGGACGCTGTCTCTGAAATGGCCAGTGTTAATCTCAGCATGGCAGTTTTTTATTATTATTATTATATTACAAATATATTAATGCAAATCTGCAGCGTCTGCTTCCCTAGCATCGTTTTAACTCTGATGAGATTTCCGTAAGTGACGGATTTTTCCAGATCTTGCTTGTTTTTATAAACAATTTTATTACAATAACAACGGAAGCAACAATTGATATGATTATCAATTTAATCAGAAATATAATACAAATGTCAATCAAAATTTCACAAGGAATTAATTTTAAAACAACAAATCTGTAAAGTTAAGTGAAGTACACAGACTCTCTGCCATCTTTTTAAAACTTACTTATCTCTCCAGCAGAAAACTGATAATGCCGCCACAAAGAAAGTACATACTATTAAATCAATTAAATAGCATGCTTTCAACTAGAAGAATAATACTGTTTGTGCTGCCATAATTAATTTCAATTTTCAATAGCTTATACAAATTGTTTCAGAAGTAATTTACCTACTTCTCTTGAAAATTTGTTAACACGGTAACATTGTATTTAATGATACACAGTGCATGAAAAATTAATAATCTAACAGGTTGGCGCTTTTAATAGAAAAACTGGCTGCAGTTCTAGGTAGCGATAAAAAAATTATCCTAGCCATATTATCGAGATTATTTGAGTATTTTTTCAAATATGTGACGCAATTAATTAACTCCTAAGTTTTTTAATAGTTTAACAAGTACTTGATTTTAATCTTTACGTCGCTTCTCTCAAGGTTTTAGTTTGGCGTGACTTTGTTGGAGCATATCTACACTACGAAAATTTGTTGGTCAAATAAATTTGTGATAAGAAAAATATTAAACTCTTCTTTATTTATTTATATTTTTCCAAATTACAAGAATCTTTTATAACAAAACGGTATGATTTAATAGTATTAACATGCCACTTTCAAGCGCTTTTTAACAATTTTTCTTCATAATACTTGAGACACCATTTCTGGCACAAGCAAAAATTGTCGCTAATCGTTTAAGGGCTGTTGTTTTAACAGCAATAATTTATTTGATTATTACATCAATAAAGTCACAATTTATAATAAGCATCCAGATATTTAGTTGCAAACAATATTATGGTATTAAAATAATGCATCCTGTTTAAGTTCTTTAACGGAGAATTTGGATGCAATTTGAGTATTTCACATTCAAAAGAATAGTATGTATTTATAAGTGCAGGTGCTTCAATAATACGGGAGTTCCTTTTTGTTAATTAGGTCAATGATTATTGCTCTACGTTTTATTTATAATAAACCAAGCAGGTGCTACTTATTCTAATACAAACAACCTACATGATGTAACAATAGCAGCTAATTACTGCCTCATGAAAGAATTAATGATCGCATTTAAAGCTGAATGAACAGATACAATATTAAAATGTGGATAAAAATATTAAATTTGCGTTGTAATTAACTTCTTTTTGTACGCTTTGGGCTGAAACTGACTAG